AGCGAAAACAAAGCCCTCCGATATTCTATACGTCCGTGGTACGCTCTAACCGGACATCCTCTTCGGCTAACCCAAAATGGCCTGTTTTACGGCATAATACGGTTATATACAACGTGATGGAAGCGCGTAGGTGCGCCTCGAAAATTATTATTTATCGTTCACGGTTGAACTAAACACAATGCAAGTTGGGCCTACGTAATAATTTGTAAACACATTTTTATAGACGATTTTAAAACGCCAGACTACATTGATAAAAAATTACCTTCTAAAATGTAGTACAAGGTGTCTCAAACTAGATAGTATAGATCTATTGTGAGGATACAAAAAATTTAAATAAAATTTGGGACACGTGGTGTTAAATGAGATGATTTCAATGGAAAGTATTATTAGACCAGGCAAGTTAGACAATAAATCAGAAAATTCTTTCTGATGAACCGATCGAGTTGCGGTTTTCGGCATTGTCTTCGGAAAAATATCAGGAAAAAAGTCTATCTATTACACTTTGGGGCTGTATCGAAACTGCATTGCGGGTGCATAAAGTGCATCTTGGAGTGCATTAATTTTTCCGAATTTTCTAAAAATGGTAAAAATTGACTAAAAGTTGTAGAAATTTGTGTGCACGGGTTTTCGGGGTCGGAGATTCCGAATCTGACCCTGAAAAATATGCCCGACGGCCCTGGGGCCCCCCAGGGGGGCAAGGGGGGTCCTTCTGTAAAACATCGATTAGCTGAGTAATTGCCTTCTAAATTTCCACTCGGGGGTTTTTGGGGTCCGGGATTCCGATTCTGATACTGAAAAGTATGCCCGACGCCCGTGGGGGTGGGATTTCCGAAAAAACATTGAAAGGCACATCATTTTTGCAATAAAACTGCTCCACCTGCTTACCAGCCATGATCTTGTAGGCTAATATTTACATTGTAATACACGTAAAGTTACAAAGATTAGACAAGAAAAATTAACAGGAAATTAATGAGTCGAAAAGAATCCCCTTTATTCTGAGAACCAATTTTCTACCAACCAGGGCGTCGGGTATACTTTTCAGTGTCAGATTCGGAATCTCCGACCCCGAAAACCCGTGCACACAAATTTCTACAACTTTTCTCATGTTATTTTATATAACTGCCCACATATTCTGGGACACCCTGTATGAATGAAATAAAATTTGCACCAACCTGTTTTGGTTCAACCAATGTGGTGTTACCACGTGTGTGTAGATTCCTAGAATCTAGCAAACCACATGTTTAAATTTATGGATTATTTGTCCAAATTTTCAATCTGGCTTATGCCAATTGGCTTGCTGTTAAATAATTTAACGGCATATTATTTAAAGACGTTATCAATAACTGATATCTGTCAGCATCATTGTATATGAAGACAATTTGTACTTTTTTATTAGGATTAACAAATAATATAACTTGAATAATATTAAATTTATACACATATAAAAATATATATAATTTTAATCATAATTCCGTTCGGTTAACGACTTCGCGTACCTTGATAACAGAAATAAAAACAATTTCGTTTAATGATAAACAATATTTTTAATTCCTATTAACTAATTAATTATCACTGATGGTTTAATGTCTACTTTGGCTCTAATCTATCAAATACGATAACAAAAACAATAAAATCCAAATAAATGCCTGCATTTTAAGGATTTGTTCATGAAAAGCGAAAAGCAAATGTTAATAACCGCAAATAGAAAAAAATAAATAAAATGTTATTTACATACGTAAAAACCTAAATTCATAACGATGCATGTAAAGCTCTCTATTATATTAATTTAAATTATAATATGGGCAATAAACAATTTTCTTTATTGACTGAATAATTAACATAAAAAGATTCCATGCTTTTCTAAATTTAACTTTTATGAGTAAACAAAACAAACATACTTTAAAACTGCGATAACGTTAACTACGTTGCTTAATACCTTCAAATAACAGTGTTAAAAGCTGAATAGTACGAGATTCCAGTTTGAAGATCCATAATTCTCCCTAGTCACTATTAATGATGTTATGGAAATACCACATACCAATATGTTTATGTAAATGAGTGCTTAAGGCCCCACAAAAAAGGTCCCTTACTTGCAAGAAACACATTTCATTCTTCTGTAAACATTTTAATATTTTAATGTTGGTTGAATCTTCTTAAAGAAGAAAATTAAACTGTATAGTGGCTGAAGCCGTAACTAAAGTAATTACAGAGCTATTTCACATAGAATGCCTTGTAAAAAAATACTACTTATGTTGTCACGACATAATGTAAACTAGCATACCGTTGTCAACACTTTGATCTCATTCAGCAGTTTTCGATGACCTTGGATGAAGGATCAGCGCCGTAATAGGAATTTTTACTTGCGCAGGAAAGCGCATTAAATAATAATAAAACATCCGATTTTTATGAAAATTTGGAATTAAACTTATTTCACCCTGTAGATGAAGTTATATATGCTTGATATGTGCTTATGTTTAGGGGATGAAAACCTTNCTAAAAAAAAGTCAATACATATTCGGACGTAAAATTTTCTGCTCTTCAAGAATCCGGGGTCAAAATGATCATATCATCAAATTTTAAGGTTCTGACCTTAATTTGACCTTGATTCTGACACTTCAAGGTCAAGAGAACCTCAGATTCAGATTTAGCGACTCCGAAAACATATATATAAATTTTTCCAGATTAGTCATTCCGCAATTTGACCTTCAGATGCCCTTGACCCTGACGTGATGGGGTTAAACGGACCCCGGATTCGGATTCAGCAACCCCAAAAACATAAAGTGCACCTCCTCAGATATCGGAGAAAATAATTTCAATTTTTTTTGTGGGTCTGTGTTATAGATACAAATATTTTTAACAGTTTATGGTTTTATAAATAATTTATTACACTATTTCAACCCTTAAAGAACTATCCCTGTTAACAAAATATTTAAAAAATATAGTTTTTAACAGTTTGAAATGATTTGATAGTACAAATAGGATAAATTAAATTCTTTTACCTGTTTATAATACAATTTATAATTTATCGCATTGTTTTAACCCTTACAAACCACCCCCAATGACAAAATATAAAACAATGGCTTTGAAATAATTTAAAATGATTTAAATGCCCTCCTATAGTTTGTATCAGATCACTGGGTTTATTAAAAATCAGCCTTCATTATACAAATAAAAACTATTTTGTACATTTATAGTTGATAAGTAGAATTATTAAAAGATTAAAGGGAAAAAGTGAAGGTATTCTGTTTATATAGAATGCTCCAAAGTTGTGGATAACCAAAATATTGATATGCTCCTTAAAATGAAGCGGTAAGGTACCGTTTTTTAACGGTAACTTCCTTAACTTTAAAGTTATTAAGATGATTCAGAAACGATTTTACGGGAAATTTCGACAGCTAAAAGTACTGTAAAATTGAATATTTTTTAGTGTTATTTTTGAGATTTTTGAGGTTAAAAGGTTTGAACCTTCGCCCTCAACTGCAAACTTCTAGCAGCGACATCTCTGTTAATTTTTATCCTACACAAATAAAAAAAAAACACAAAATATTCTGTGAAAAAAAATCTAAACTCTCGAACAATTTTCTTATCTTTTTTATTTTTAAAGTTATTTAAAAATGTTATTTTTTTATCAAAACGTAATATTTTCAAAAATATGCATTTTAAACCGCCTAAACTTGTATAATATATTGTTAGCACATAAAAAATGTAAATTGTAGAAAGATTACCTTTAATTTTAAATCTCGTGAAAAAATCATCAGTTTTTGTACTGACTTTTTTTTCCGAAAAAGCGAATTAACAGTTTTATTTTGATCGTAACTTGTTAATTTTTATGCAAATGACTTAAGGTGAAGTTCATTTTAAAGATTTTTGCATTTTTCTTGTAAAATAGAGTTTTTTTTAGTAATTTTACGTTAAATGCTTCCAATCTAGTTTCTGGAGGACATAAAATTCTCTTCAACCAGCCGTATCTCAGCACCTATAGCACCTACATAAATGAAAAGAAACTCAATAGTTTTCTTTTTCTATAAGTTTCATTTTCTTCCTGATGTTTTTTTTTCATAGAATGTCTATTTTCCGAGTTATTCGAAAAAAACTATTGAAAAACATCCTTTTTTAATAAAAAAAAATTTACATTTTCAATCACCAATAACTCGGAAAATATTGACTTATCGAAAAATGTTCATAAGATACTTTTTGCTTAAAACAGATTGCTTTATCGATTCATGGGGTTATTTTATTTTTCACCCCCTAGAAGGGGTGGCTTCCATCCCCTGGGCAAAAGCGCTCATCAGCAATGTATAACTTTTGTTTCTTGAGCTACTTTTTACTTACAGTCCAAGTTTCACATCAATCGGTTCTATTGGAAAGAATTCTGAGGGGAAACTCTTGGTTCCTTGGCTATTTAAAGAAATATGTTTTTTATATGTATTATGCTTCTGCGTTTATTGCTATTAACAAAATTTTTCCCTCACTTTTACTTACAGTGATTTATATTTAGTTCTATTCTATTATAGTTCTGCCTAGCACTCACCCAAATGGACATAGGAAGTAAAGCATGATTAATGTATGGAAGATAAAAAAATATCTCCCAGAGCGTCACTGCATTGACCATATCGCTTATGTTACTTCCTCTCTCTCGCATAAGGTCAGCCACAACGTGGAGAATAATGACATACATACTTCTAAACCGTTTTGTAGTACTACGTGTCGTTTGTCACAAAACTAAGTCGATTTCCTTTCCTCGGCATCAATAAATCTTAAATTACTCCCAAAATATCCCACACGAAATTTTATTTTAACTACAAACCCATATCCACCCAATAATGAAAAACGCCCTACGCCATTACCTAGCACTTAAGGAATAATGTATTCCCTCCAAAGCAACCAGTATATTAGTAATCAATGCGCATGCCATTACCGGCAATTGTGATTCAAATGGAACGTCAGGAAGTCGCTTAATATTCAATGAAAAAAAAAAAAAAAAGTTAGGGAGCACTCACCGCAAACTCCAGATCCGTGTGTACAGCACCGTTAGATGTGATCTTTACGTCGGCGTCTCCTATTTTCTCAAGTTTACCCTCGCCCTCCGTCACAACTTCTTCGTCGCCCTTCTTCGGCGTCGTGGTTATGTCTACCGACCTCTTCGAAGACTTGCCTCCCATTTCTATTTGTGGACTTACGTGCTACTGCAAGGAAACATCGACAAATTAAAATTGCTGTCAGTACTAAAACAAGTGGAATACCACTAATTTCGCTTGCCCTTATAGATTAGGCGGCCCTTTATCAAGGGCTTACAAAGGTTTATCGAGAGTGAATCTTGTCCTACCGTAATATTTGGTCATTAGTCTAGCTCTTAATGCGTTTTTAATCCGTAGTAAACGACAACCACTAAACAGAGCTTTTTACCTAGATACGTGAATGAATAAGATATTGTTTTACATTTTAAGTATTAACAAGTATTAATTTATTTGTTAATACAAAGAAAATGTATAAGGATAATAATTGTTTTCGATTGTTAGGTTAGTACTTTTTTAAATATTAGTATTTAGCACTTTTAAAATTGTTAAAGTTTTCATTGCCTATGTTAAATATAAGTTTTTAATATTGTGTTCAATTAATTATTCAGATTGTAGTACGTATAAACGTATACCTTATTATGACATTACTTTTCAAAGAGTAGTCTGATGCCTACCATTGCGCGTTGTTAATAAAATGGGGATCTGCTACACTTTGATTTTGAAACCAATTGTAAGATGACTGAGGAAATCTGCTGTTTCGCTTCAACGTTGAATCGCTCCGTAGTGCGCCAGCGCGTACCTATTCAGCAAATATGATGTAAAAGAGTTCGTTGAATTAACGGAAGTTAAGAGGTAATTTACTTATTTTTTAAAAGGTCGAGTAATGTTTTTTTCGATTTACTGTTTTTATTGGGCCTTTCCACTTAAAATTCATATTGTGGCTGATTCATCCTGTATAATTGTGATAATAGTACAGTCTTTCCTGTGAATTAAATTAAAATTCCAGTCACTGAAACATTTTGGCTACCAATTTTTTCGGATGGAATGGACTGACGTGAAATTTGAGCTGTTGATAGGGAATAGCCCAAGAAACAAAAGTTATATAGTGCCAATGTGTGCTTTTACCCTAGGGGTGGATGCCACCCCTTCTGGAGGGTGGGATTTTTTTTATTAAAAATAACCTCACGATTCGATAAAGGGACGAATTCTTAGCAAAAAATGTTCTATAAGAATTTTTTGTACAGTCAATACTTTTTGAGTTATTTGCGCCTAAACATGTTCGTTTTTAGCCCAAAAAATGCATGGTTTTGGGCCATTTTTCGTGAATATCTCAAAAACTACAAGTTCTATCAAAAAAATTATCATAAGCAAAAATGAAGGTAATTAAATAGCAAAGAGATTGCTTTTTTATTTTTGTAAGTGGTATAGACCCCGAGTTATGACTCCCAGAGTTTGAAGTCAATTTCGAAAACAGCATAAAAACTAATGAAGTTACAATCAAAATACTGTCTTAATTTTTGAGAAAAAAAATCGGTACCTATTAAAATTATTAATGACGGAAAAAAAATTAAACGTATTCCTTCTGCAATTTACTTTATTTATGTATTAATAGTAGATTCTGGGAAACGATTTTAGAAGCCTAAATTTAAAAAAATATTTCATTTACTTTTGAATAAAATTTTTAATTTTTTAAAAAAATCGCCTTATTCCAAAATATTTCAAAAACTAACAAAGTTATTAAAAAAATGATAGAATAAGAAATTGTAGGTATTTTCTTACTGAACAACTTGCTTTTTTAAATTTTTGTAAGACAAAATTTGATAGTTATGACCGTTAGAAGCTCAAAACTAAGCTCCAAGACTGCCTTTCCTGAGCCCTTTTATCTTACAAATTCAAAAAACGAAGGGCTCAAAAAAACTGCAAATCACAGAACTTAAAGTGTTTTAAATTTCCTACAAAATGGTTTTTTAAGTAAACATATAACTTTAAAATTACAAAAGTTGTGGTAAAAAAATTAATCGCATTTTTTCGGTAAAATTTTCGGAGCGGGTAAATTACCATCATCTTTGTGTATTTTGGAGCACTTGTGAACTGATTTGAGTAAGTATTTTAATAATACACATACTTACACTTGTCCGAGTTCACATGTTTATGTATATTTGATATTAATTTAATATAAAAATATTAAGAATAAATTCAATAAAATCGAAAAAAATTTATATTATCATACTCACATATAATTTTTAGGATATTTTTCGATAAGGGGTAGGGTTTTTTATGAGGGCTAGGTCTTCCATAAGCGTTTTTTGGGTAGCTGAAAAGTTGCAATATATCATAGATCATTTGAAAACCAATAAAAAAGTTTATAATTCAACATATGCATTAAAACATCTCAAGCTTTCAATAATATTTTTTGTTTATTTTATTATAAGGGATGGTTTTTAAGGGTTGCAACTTTGTAATGACTCGTAAGCTTTCTAATGAATAACGAAAGAAATGCAATACATTGTGAATGCACCAAAAGAACATTTTAAACTGTTAAAAACTTTTTTCTATTTTTGACCATGGAAGGGTAGTTTTTAAGGATTTTTAAGGGTTAAAAAGTATTTAAATTTCATAAATTATATTAAAAAACATGAAAGGAACTTTATCCAACATATTAGAACATGAATTGAATCTTTAAAATAAGTAAATCTGCGATTTTCGCATTCTTTTCGTACAAGGGTAGTTTTCACCTCCAAATAGAAAAAAGGACATATCTAGACAATATAACTTTTGAAGTGGGGGGTCAGATGAGCTTGTTTGCAAATTTGCAAGAAAATCCATGCTATTCAAAAAAATTGGGAGCTTTTACCTTATTTTCGCTGGACTAAATACCTAGATCGGCAACTTTTGTCGATAATTTCAAAAAATCCTTTGATATCCCTGTTTTAAATGTTGATGAAAGTATGATATGCTGATTATTCGAGAAGAATATTGAAGGACAGATCAAAACACAATACCTACAAATAAAACAGTTCCTGTAAACGGAAAAAACTAGTTACCTTTAAAAAAATCTCCTAATTGTGACACCCTGTATATATAACCGTGACTCATATAGTACAGTATATACGTACTACTTATTGCAACATTCGCCTGAACGCAACAATAACTAAAATATGTTTCAAGTTATTACAAGTTTTAGTTTAAATTTTTATATTCGTTTTAAAATTTACGTTTAATTTTGAGTACGGCCCTGGCGCACACGGACGAAACGAACCCTACGCCGGTCAAGAGGGACGTCTCTGTTGTTTGTCCATTACAACAATTAAGAGGAGATAAAGTTATCAATACAAAGAATGCGCTTATTTACATTTATTTATTGGAACAATGGTTAATAGCCATTAACTTAATATAATTAACACACTGTTACAGAACAGAATTAGCCACATACTCATATTTTTACACCACAGAAATCCAGCACAGGATAATGGTCTACGATTTAAATTTTTCTAACTGCGCAAATGTTAAGTACATAAAAAAATAAAAAACTGCCTTACTGACAAATTATTCTTTATATACATCTTGAAATTTTTACCTGAGGTTACTATGCCTTTTCTTTAAGTCATGCTTGGAACAAACCCTGCATAAAATGTGTGCAAATACTTTTCCAAGTAAACAGTAATATTTGCGGAACAATATGCGAGACAAAAATACTTTTTTATAGTAATTACGTATATTATCACCTAAAACATTGTTTGCCCTTACTATCTCTTGTTGTGACACTGAATCATACAACGATGAATTTAAGCTTAACTAGATAATATTTAAAAATATATATAAAGCGAATAACTAACGTTACTTATATACTGTCGACACCTAGGCAAATATCGTTAAAATAACTGTACCGACTAATATAAAAAAAAACAACGATTTACCGTACTTGTACGTGCTGGAACTAACAGGAGACAATAAGAGTTGTTGCACTTCACTATAACAAGCTGCTATATAACTTGAACGGTAATGACAGTAAAAACATGTAAAATGTCATTAGACTCAAAAATTATTTTAGCAGGATATTGTAAGTCCACGCCTACTTTCGCTAGTTTGTCAAGCAAATAAGGACTATTATTTATTATTAAAATATCGTGCTAGCTGTTTGTTTTTGTTCTATAAACAAAGTCGAACGATTAGATGAATTAATCACCGACGAATAATTTGTTTACAGTCTATATTCTATACAATCCTGTCTGTACAGGATTGTTTCCTGTTGTCTGACTTCCTGCCGCAGATGGCACTTTGGTTGGGGTACTGCAAACTTGTCAGGTATCGTCAGCACAGATCTATCATTAAATGTATTTGAGAGAATGAAAATGAACTACGACTCACAATCAGAACCCTTATTGTATCATTTGAGATGCAATTTATATGATTAATTACAATTGAAGTCTCACGTAGGATTATTCCAGCGATACTATAACATACCACACTTTAAACTTTCATATGGTACAGTTGCAAAGGTTGGCCGGCTTATTTTGCAATTATTTATCAAGTAATACATGAATTAATGCATAAATTCCTCAGCAGCATTACCTTGGTATTTATGATTTATGGAGGAAAAGAACCGCGTGCAAGAAAAATCATACACAGTACTTGCCCGCGCAAAGGAATTTGCGTGAGGTCTCATTATACCATAAAAAAAATGTTTCGCCTACCACATCATGAACTTCAAAGCTTTAGTGAAAGTCATCGATCAATATTCTGAAAGCGAATTGTCTGTGTAGTGTCCGGGAGAAAACAATTTATTTTCGGAATACAAAACATATACAGGGTGAACCAGGAATGTATTCGTACGTAAAAAGTCTTGAAGAATCAGAATATGTAGCCGGAAAAACAATTGAGCATCAATTTAAAAAAATATCTACTTGAAAATCAGACTTTTTTCGAAAAACATAAGAGAATAGTAGGTAATTTGTAGTTAATTGAAAGACGAATCCGAAAAAATCATGGTTGTTACCGTAAAGCAATGGCGTACTATTTTATTTAGAAAACATGCCACCGATACCCTGTATCTCCGCCACTGGAGCATGTAAAATTTAGGAAAAGTCCTCAGATTTTGAACAATGTTTACATGTTTATTTGTGCCCAATTTCAAATTATTTCACTTACTAGTTTTTAAATTATTTAAAAAAATTAAAAATATTTTTTGAAGATTAACACCCTGTATCTTTTTAACGAAGCATCCTAGATAAAAATTTTATAGGAATGACCCTCCTTAAAATTCACCAAAGAATATGAGGTTCGATTTTTGGTCACCATTTGTGAATCACCCTGTATAATTAAGTGTGATTTTTTTTCATGGTCAAACGTTTATGTATCATCAAAGTGCGCTTCTAAAGAATCTATCACAATATTTCAAATATCACTAATTGGCACCAGCATGAACCGGCTGAACTGGTATCAAACCCATGATTTTTATTAAGATGCCTTTTAACAAGGAATTTGTTAAATTTCAAAATTGCATATGCAGATATTAAAGGTTACAACTATTTTAAAATATAGACAAAAATGAGTTCAATATACACAAAATTCATCAATGTATCCCTCTCAGTGGGTATAATAAAAATTGTCAAAATAATTACCATGAACTTTATGCATAATAAAAATTAAAAAATATGTCTAAATATTAGTAATACAAAACACGTATATGACATATTGAAATTGTAGGTAAATAGTGTTGTTGTTCTAACAACACCCTTAATAAAGACTAACACGCAAAAATCATCACATGTCGCGACAGAAAGATTTTACTATTTCTGCATTTTGCTTAGAATTGGTTTATAAGTCGATTTTTAAAAAATATTTACATTTGTATATTTTGTTTTAAAGAAATTTAGTAAAAAGGGACACAAGTTAGGTAAAAAAACAATTTGCATTAATATACACATTATATTGTCATTATTGTCAAAACCTTTAACACCGTCTTCCAAAATGTCATTTTTTCTAAATATTTTGTGTTTTATATATTTAATTTCATATTTATTCATTCCAGTTACAAGAAAATGTAGAAGTAAAGTATTATTCTATCGTGCCTATTTTTGTTGGTCTTTGTCGAGAGTGATGATAGAATTATATTAAAAAGTAAAGATAATTCTTTGACAGAGTACATTATTTACCAATTTCAATATGCCAAATACAGTAAAAACACATAATTACGTATAGGTATTGAATTAACGCGTTCTAAAATTTATCCAAACGCCACATATCTAATTTAATTAAATTTGTTCTGGTCTAAGATCCACGAATATTTTCCCACAGACGTAATCGTAATATATTCACCCACAAATTAACAGACGAAATATAAAAAGTCGCCGCCAGACTTCACCTGTTGTAATTGAACTCACTTAACAATTACGAAAACACAATGGATCAATTTACGCAAACATAGTTCACGGAAAAATGCAGACACCCTTATGTTTTAATTGACGACAAGGGGCAGAGCAACGTCAGGCTAGAAATAAAGGTAACCTCAATTTTAAAATACTGATGTGTTAAAAACATCGTTACTGTAACGCTAGCAAGGAATTAAATCAAGCTTCAGCATTCATATCTGTTTCGTTTACTTTTAAGGCGCCCCGTGCTGTCAACTTTCCCAGCGTATTTTCAAAACACTCACATAAGAAATACGACAACGCTTCAAGACGGCACTCCTAATTGTCGGTTGGAAACATAACAAACAGCCACTAAACCACAACAACTGAAAAACCGAACAAAAACAATTGACAGCTCGAAGCACAACCACGCGTTCAAAACTCCAACCAACGGTGGTTTTCAAACAAATGACTGTTACCGGTACCACGGCGCACTGCTGGGCAGAGTCGGCTCTGAGGATCACTTCGGGTCTCAGGGGGAACGAACTATGTCAAACCGAGCCGTACGCCAGTACCGAACGAGGATTACGTGTGATTTTGAGGGACCTGACGTGGAAAAAACGCCACGGTTTCCCCTAACTGATTAAGTTATGATCCAGTCGATTCGAGTAACAAAACTAATTGAAAATGCAGATACCTTAACCGCATTTGCGGCTGTAATTGTTATTTATAGAATAAAGCAGGTGCTAGCGCGACATTTTAGTTAACAAAGTCACTGCTGAATAAATAAAGCTTGTCTCGGACGGTTAGAGGCCACTGGGGATGGACCTAGGGGTTCTGATAACGGGGCTGCACCCACAGAACCTAGAACGAGAACAACAAGGGCTGGTCAAAGATTTCTAGCAAGGAAGTGCAATGTAATTATGTAATCCGAAAAAATATCCTATTTTAAATATATTAACTGACATTTTTATGTTGAATTGAATTAGACGTTAGAAACGTTAAATTTAATTTCAAAATGTCGAGGTACTATTTGAAATTCAAATTTGTAGTAAGTTCTTTATCTAAATTTGTAGCTATAAGTACTTTCTTTTCTGGAAAATATACAAGGTGTTACAAAAAAGTAAGTAAAATCGTTAATTGCAGTTTCTTTGAGTGGAAAAAATATCTTTCCCGATTTAATTTTTCATTTAAGATTTTTTTTTCAAGATACAAGGTCGCAAAATTAGAAAAAAAAGGATTTGTATTACTAAAAAGTTTCCTCCGTTGTTCTCATAAACATGGTTCGGTTACTTTTCAAGATACGGTTCAAATTGATTTTCGTGAAATGTTTTTTTTATACAGGGGGTCACAAATGGTGACCAAAAATGATTCCTCGCATTCTTTAGTGACTTTTAAGGGGAGTTTTTCCTATAAAGTTTTTATCTAGGACGCTTCGTTAACAAGCTACAAGGTGTTAAACTTCAAAAAATATTTTTAATTTTTTAAATAATTTAAATACTAGGTGAAATAATTTGAAATTGGGCACATGTATTTATGTAAACATTGTCCAAAATCTGAGGGTTTTTCCTAAAATTTACGTTACGTACATTCACATTTACATTTACAAATTATTTCACTTTCTATTTTTTAAATTATTTAAAAAAATTTAAAATATAAAGTTGAACACCCTGTATCTTTTTAACGAAGCGTCCTAAATAAAAACTGTATAGGAAAGACTCCCCTTAAAATTCACCAAACAACACGAGGTTTCATTTTGGTCACTATTTGTGAATCACCCTGTAGATTCAAATCGTCTAAAAATAAACAAATAGAAATTAATACTTGTATTTTTTTATTTTATAAGAAAACATGATAACTAGGAATAAAAATCATCCAGAAGCGGGTAAAAATGGGGGCCTAAATAAAATGTTAGCCGAAATATTCGAAAAAAATGTTTCACTTATTTTTAACAACAGAATTTTTAAATTTGTACATTTTTCCATACAAGAACTCTTATTATTTAAACAAGTTTAAACAAGTTTATACTATTCAAAAATGGGGTGAGGAAATTTTGACGTACAAAAGCCCAAATTTTAAAGTTCAGATATTAAATAAGTAAAAGATGGGATAAAATTTCTCTAATCTGATATTCTTTTTCTCTTTTAAAGGATAACAAACACCTGTGTGTTTGGTCTTTAGAATATATTAAAAAAGTTTTGAGGAAAATTAAGCATTTCCTGACCCATATTCATAGGAACTTTTTTCCTTAATCTGAGGAGTTCTATCAGTAGGTTCGGCTTATGAATTCGGTTACTTTGTATAAAAAACCGACTCAAATTATTAGAAACAGAAAGTGACTTTCAGTTTCCAATTAATTAACCTATATATTTCTCTAATGTTCCACTTTAAGTCCATTTAAAAACGATTACGACTAACTGTCCGTAAGTATTGGAAATGTTTACTAAAACCATAAATATTTGAAAAATGCGTACAGATAAGGATATCTTAAACAAATGTTAACTGGCACAATAAATTAACACATGGTTAATACATGACTTTTACACAAAATTTTATTATAAACAAAGATTCTTTAAGATATCACCAACGCCACAAAAAATAGCGTCAATTAATGTTGTAGTAAAGCAAAGAATCAATACAAAAAAATTTTTCATCTTTTTTTAACACCATTGAAACTGAATTACGTTTAAGTTCACTAATAATTACCTTTTTCGCATTTTGCATAGGAAAGTACTAATATTAGTACCATCATTTTTCTATTATAGAGTCACTGTCACAACAGAAATGTCACTGTAATGTCAGAGACATTAAAACATAATTTGATAGAATAGTTATTTATTCAATCTAACTATTCGTAAGTAGGTAGTAGACATAATAGAAACAAGATTATAAAAAATGCCGAAAGAGTTTGCCGATTAGTCCCATTTTAAAAGTGCCAATCTACCAGGAAAGCATTTTTGTACAAAACTCGTATTGCCACACGAGTTTAATGGGAACGCCCCATATAGACAAGCGGTTAAGCCGTCATATTTCAAACAAAATACGATTCAGATTGGAAACCTTTATCTTGCGTCGAGTGTACATGATAGAAACTAATTTTCAATATAGACCATAAACTGGAACCCTTAAAAACTAGGTACTTGACGTGACGTCTATTATTTTGACACCCTTAGACAGAATGACGTCTACTAGCAACTAATTCAAGTTGACATTTTAATGTATAAGATGCACGGGAAAGTGTCATTACTTCTGCTTCTCCTAAGCGAAATATTATCGAGAAACGAAGCAAACTACTGCGGACAAGAGATTTTCTACGGCAACAATGGTACCATAAAAACGAATCCAGCTATGTTCAACAAGAATATTTCTTGCATGTGGACTGTGCATCCTCCAAACGGAAGAATAACGACCATAAGGATATTACAAACAGGTTTACACAAGTGCTTACCCCAGTACCCGTGTTGTTTATCCGTCCTAGACGGGGACTCAAACAAGAACTACATAAAATTATGCAAGGAATCCCCGAAAAAACCTATAACCTTATCGACGAGGGGAAGTAAAACGCTGATATATCTGGAGGCTTCCGAGAACGTGCATACATGGATAGATTTTTATACCCGTGAAAACAGCGAATGCCGCTATTCCGACTACCAGTGCTACGATAAAACAGGATGTTACAACGCAACCGATATCTGCAAAAGGGACTTTACTTGCAGCGATCACTCTGACAAGATGAACTGCGGTAAATGTCCAATCAACCTCACCCCTTGCAGCATGAAGTCCGGCAGATGCTTCGACCCTGTGTCTCAAAGGTGTGACGGTGTGATTCATTGCCTTAAAGGTGAAGACGAGCTCGGTTGTACGGATTTATGCCCCAACGCGATCAAATGCCCGACAGAGAAGAAATGCATAAAACAGGAGCAAATATGCAACTCGGAAGCGGACTGCTCGGACAGTTTCGACGAGAAAACCTGCCTCAACGAGGAAACCACCAACGTATACTTCACCCTCGTCTTCATCGTAAGTAGTCTATGCTCTATGTCTTTCCTGTGCATACTTTTCCAGTGGATATCAACGAGACGCAGCACCCGGAGGTTCCTCAACAACCCCCCAGAGTTCCCTATAGCGCCGTTCGAGGGTCCCGGAGACCAAGAACACGAGAGCACCAGTTCTGAGGTCTTCACGGAATCGGAGTTTAGGCAGGGAGGTGGCATCTATGAAAGTTACCTTCAGAGCTTGAAGAAAACCAAACCGATAACAGCCGTTCTGTCGAATACAAGGCAACTGTCGTACATGGACCTGGACGGCGATAATGAGCTGATCGTTTTGGCGTCGCTGAACGTACCAGTGGATATGTGCATTGGACTGACCGTCTCCGAAGAAAAAATCAATCTAAAGGAGGCTCTCACGCAAGAAAGGCTGAAGAATATCTCCGAAATGAACACAGAAGTGGATCAACGTGGATCCGCCGAATCCTCTCAAAGCACAGAGGTCCGATGTGTCGAGGAAAGTCCTAGAAAAGTCTCAAATCGATGCAGCGAGCAAATCTCGGAACGAACGTTTGTCGTTTCGGGTAGCAGCGAATGGACTGACATTGAGGACACTTCTGAAAGCAACAGCAGTAGAATAATCTATGTTAAGAGCGCCAAACAGACAAAACTTAAGTAGGAGTTAGTAGTGAGCGAAGTAAATAAGATTACCACATCTTTGTTAGTTTGTAACAATGTTAATAATTGAAAATAAAAATCTGTTCTAGGTAGCTTTTATTTCCTCTGCACGAATTTTTAGAATTCAGTCGCTGAAAACGGAAAAGGCGATTTACTTTTTTCCTCCTATATAAGGACAACGCATGCACGTGCAGAATTTAATTGCAGCAGAAGGTATTTTATATCGCGACTCATCGCCTCTCGGATTTTACGACACATCTGCGTCTGCACTTTTTGTTACCGCTCTGTTTTATCACTAATATTCAATCCAAGTATGTTTACCCATTGTTTCAGTTTATTGTTGTACGGCATACCAGGAAACGTTATTTTTAGAAGGAACGATAAACCTGCCCTGTTTATAAACAATATTCTCCTTAATATGCAACGTTAAATGATACCGTCAGCGTTTCAGATCGCTAAAGTGCGATCGAAAGTAAAGTCCGTCGAAATAATTGTACGAAAATGAGCACGATGAACTGTACGATGTAAAAAATAGGCATTTTTCTATTAGGATATCGAAAAGGAACTTTTTTGAAAGAATTCAGATATCTCGAAGGCCATTAGAGATAGAGATAGGGAAGCTTGATAAAAGTCCCCCTAAAATTACGCGTAGAAACCAAATATGCAAAAATATACAGGGGGTTCCATTTAAAGTAAGCCAGTAGTGGGTGATTTCCGATATAACCAAAAGTACTACAACAAAGGCCATCATTTCATTTAAAGAGAGCAGTCCCAAAAATACCCAGGGGGCCCAAATTTTCAGAATTCAAATGGGCCGTCACCGCAAGACAGCCTGTATACTGGTAGTGTGATTTAGTT